CTTCTGGAGATATAAATAGAAAGGCAAATAATAACATACTAGACTCTTAACTCTGCAAGGAGACAACTGGACTACAGAACTAAAAACCAACAAGAAACTACAGTTTATTTTTAAACTGTACCAGATAAAACAATTCAATCACTTTCAACTTTTAAACAACTTATATTGTTCTGCATCAATTCACTCTTTGTGTCCTCAGACCACCTGCATGAAGACTACAGAACTAAAAACCAACAAGCAACTACAGTTTATTTTTAAACTGTACCAGATAAAACAATTCAATCACTTTCAACTTTTAAACAACTTATATTGTTCTGCATCAATTCACTCTTTGTGTCCTCAGGCCACAACAAAGCAGATTATGGTAGCCCCACCCGCAACCCAAGCCTGGAGCTTTAGACTATACCTCCCACCATCCCTGATGAACCTAGCCATGCCACATGTGCCTGGTGGGACACGTTCGGGCAGTGGCAGGGTTGAGAGGTTTGCTATACAGCCCTCTTAAGTGGAGCCGTTTGGAAGTTGTAGTACCAGATCTCTGGAGGCACTAAGATAGAAAAGACTAGTTTATGGGTGCTGTTTACAGAACATGTGATTACCACCGTGAATAATGATAGCAACCTGGCTTTTCAGACTTCAGGCTTCTTCAATCCATTTCAATGTCCATTTCAATATCCCCCACTGGACATTTCAGTGTCCTCCTGGTAGATAATCTGCACTATGTATTGCAGAGTGCTGTCCTCTGACAGATGCCCAGCCACAGAGACTGGCGAAACGTTAGGAAGAACAACCTTCAGAACACGGCCAAAAAGCCTGAAAAACCCACAACAACCAATCTGCACTCTCCCATTTAATGTAAGTGGTTCTCCTAAAACTGGTGGAGAGGGGGGGAGCTGATTATAAAAAGTAATTGCTAATGAAGAGAAATGGAACTGGGCTGTTGCAGTTAGGAAAACTAAGTAATTGCTAATGAAGAGAAATGGAACTAAGCTGTTGCAGTTAGGAAAACTTGACAAAATTTGCTGACATGGACAAAGCGAGTTAATTAACACAGGTCGTTATAAGCAGTGCAGTAACCCAATAATCCTTCCCCCACACACACTTCATCGGAAGTCAACTATAATGTCCATTTCTGCCTGAAAATTCAATGCCTTAATTTTGTTTCCTAATAAGGAAGCATTCTACTGAAAAGACGAGACAGTAAAATCTAGCCTCTCATTCTATGTTTGCCCCAGCAAAACGCAGTAAGGAAGTTTCCCCATAAAAAAGGATTCTGAGGAATGATGACAAGCCTCCTGCAATCAGAAAGCCTAATTTCATAAGAAAGACAGCTGACCATTAGCCAAGGCAGCTAAATTGATTCCACTTTCAGAAACTGCCCCACTTGTGGAATTTATGTACACAGGAAACTGTCTCATATCACATCAGACTATCGGCCCATCTACTTGATAAGCCTCTTCACTAACTGGAACACATTTTCTAAAGCAGAAGTAGAGAAATTCTGAGCTTCCAGATGTTGACAATTCTCATTGTCTCACACCACGGACCATGCTGGAAAGGCCTGGTAGTACAGTACCTGAAGTCCAACATTATCAGGAGGGACATAGGCTTCTCAGACCTGCTCTGGAGTTTCACAGAGGAGTCCTCTCCCAGGTCAAGGGTTGACTGTCTGCATCCAAACGTGTTGTATCTCTAGCATATACACCTTCCAAAAAAGATACAGCTGAAGAGCCACTGCTACAAACATGATGTTGAAGTAACATGAAGCAGTCCTTCCTCTTATTCCTAACTAAAAATAATTCACTCAATAGCATGCATTTTAAATGATCAACTGAAGAAGATATGCAAGAAGATGAAAAATAATTTACTATACATTGTCCAAATTTTCTTTTCTTCCAAAAGAAAGTTTCTTTGGAGCTTTTAATAGAGTAGAGGGTAACCTATGGTCTTTGATGTGGACTCCAAAGCTCTTCACAAACTACATACAGTGGTGCCTCGCTTAGCGATCGCTCCATTGAGTGATGAAATCACTTAGCGATGGGGTTTTGGCCATCGCCAGAGCGATCGCTTAGCGATGGCCCCTATGGGGAAAAATCGCTTTGCGATGATCACGGGGAAGCGATCATGGCAAAGCGACCCTTTTTAAACAGCTGATTGGTGGTTCCAAAATGGCTGCCGGAAAATCAAAATGGCCACCCACTGTTTTGCCTCGCTTTAGAGGCACTGAAAATGGCGCCCCTATGGAGGATCTTCGCATAAGGTCAGTTTTTAAGCCCATAGGCTTAAGCCGTGCCCTGACATCGAGATGGTAATGTCTGACAACAGTCGAAGGAGTAGACCATGTCGCTGCACGGCAGATGTGAGGGAGTTCAATCCCATGCTGGAAGGCAATAGATGTTGACAGCGCCCTGGCAGAATGGGCCTTTAAATGTTCAGGAGGTGTTTTGCCTGTTAACTCATACACCAATGAGATCGTTTGGACAATCCATCTAGAAGTACATTGAGGGCTGTGACATCGACACCTATTTCGATTTCGAAGCAGAGTTTGACTTCTCCTTATGATGGGGAGAAGGAGTCGCTGGGCTGGAAACAGGCATGGGTGGATTTTGGCAATGGTCTGGAGATCGGTGCAGACTCCATAGTGACCAGAGGTGGGTTCAGAGATTTTTCCCAGAGGTAAGACCTCAATCTTTGTAAACACAGTTTTAGTGCTGGTTTAGTTAGCCTTTTACACTTGGAGCAGGAGTGTGTAGGATGTTGTTCTCCAAGACAGAAAAGGCAATGGTTGTGGCTGTCGGTGAGTGGGATTTTACTTGCACATAGAACGCACCACTTGGCCCGGGAGGGACCATTAAAAAGCGTGGAAAATAGGAGGGAAAAACAGTTGTGGGGGGGATTGGCAAAACGCAAGCAGAGAAAAAACTGAAATAAACTCACTGGGAAAACGTCTAATAAAGAAAGATGATTGAAAGGAATTTGAAGCAAATAAACAATGATTCAATGGGAAGTATTAATTCAATAGATCGCTCTAGTCTCCAAAACAGGTCTAGCCAATTCGGTGGAAAAAAAGGAACTGAGAGGATCAGTGATGGGTGGAGCATGCGTTCCGCGGGGGAACATCCCACTAATCATGTGTCTTTAAGCTCTAGAAACCTCTGAGAGGTTCAGCGCAGGCGCAGAACAACCCAATTGTGTGCATTCACAGAGGCCACAAAGAAGAACGGGGCTGGGCAGTCCACTTTTGGTTTCCACTCCATCAGACCAAAGCTTTAAGGAAAGTGGCCCCCCAACAACAACATCAAGCTTCCCAATCTTGATATAATACAGGAGTTCTCAAACTCATTCTTCCAGATGGTTTGAACTTTAACTCCCTAAAGCAACATGGTCAATTCAGGGAGTTTAAGTCCAAAACATCTGGAGGGCCAAAAGCTGAGAACCACCGAAGCACCACATTAATAAACTAACATCCCAATTCTACATATCTAAAAAAAAATATACCAGAGTTTGGTGGAACTGAAGCTCTGGTTCTATATTTACTCCATTGGCTGGAGCCTCACTGAGCTTTATGGAGTGAATTTGAATACACAGTGTACAAGCTTGTACTGCTTCTAACAGGCAAGTGTGCTTAGGATGACAGTCAAAGCTGAAAGGAAGCAGGTGTTCGTAACTGTCCAGGGCTGGATACAAACAAATTTAGATACAGTTTTAAAATGTGAACAAAAATGAGCTGAAACCTTTTGACTGTTTAACATCTGAAAGATATGGTGGGTCAACAATAAAGGCGAATCAGACATTTAAAAATCTGGCTCCCCAAAATTATCATAAACTTGCATTTGTTTTTGTTCATTTTTCTTTTTCCCAAATATCCAGTCTTTACCAAGAATGGGGAAGGAAGGGTAGGGGCAAGAAACACTAATTCAGAATGTCTTGTGTACACTGATTAAACTCAAAGGCTTTGGGGGGGGGAATCACTTCCACAGTGAAGGTGCAGAGGAAAAGACTATTCTAAAGTACTAAGACAACAACTGAAATCTGAGAAGAGCAGTCCTGTTTGTCTTCAAAAACAAAAACAAAGAAAGAGGGACTAAAACCAGAAGCGACGTGGCACCTTGCAGGCTTGCAGTATGAGAGGCATGATAGCATGCACTGATCCATAAAAATAACTATTAAGTAGTTGCTGTCATTATGAGAAATCTAAGGACAGTCCAATTAGACTTGGATAGCAGGATGGTGTTATACAGGAACAGAATGCCTGCTGGAGTGGGTTACAAATGCTATACCGGTTGCAGGGGAGAGAAGAGCCTGGAAAAGCATAAAGCAATGCCCGTGTGGCTGTGTATTCTTGGTGTGCATCAAGTACATGAGACGGTGAACATGGGCACTGACTCATTCCCAGACATGCAGAAGCTCTGCTTCTTGACTTCAGAGGCAGCATCAGTGGCCCAAAGACTAGTGGTTGGGCCAGGCTAGCCCCACAAGGCTAGCACCACACTTCAAATGCCTCCTTTGGCTGTGAAGCCTACAAAGGGTGTGAAGTTATCTCTCCCCAGAGCTGTTGTGAGGATTAAAAAAAGAAGAAGGGGGGGGGAGAATCCATGACTGCCTACTTCAGCTCCTTGGAGGAAACAAGGAACAAAAATGTAACAAGTATGTAGCAATGAAAAATACAAACAGATAGATCTGAAGAGGGTGACAAAAATGCCTGATCTCAGGGGCTATGGTGGCTGTCTTGTTCCATATGGGAAGTGCGGGTAGAAATTCAACAGGTGTATCTATGAAAAACATTGGGTTGAATCCTTTCCCTACCACGGGCTTTTAAAGTGGGGAAGAGGCAGCTGTACTCTGCACATGTTCGGATACATTTGCATCACGATCAGATCCTGTTCCAGGATTTCAACCGGAAGCCAGTTTCGGGAACTGGGTCCCAGCTGTGGCATTTTTCACAAGCCCGCTTTTCTCTCTCCCCCTACGGGAAAGATGACGGAGGGGGGGGGGCTCACCTGGGGATGTAGCCGGCCTCCTCGCCGAGCCGAGCCTCAAACTCCCTCCAAGCCCGGCCCGGTTCCACCGCGGGTGTCCCCGACGGCGC